CTGGGAGAACAAGGAACCGCATGGAGGCGAGGATACGAGGAGAGCCAAACTATTGGAGGTGGTGACAAGCAACTTTTTAACGCAGCATGTCGGAGAACCCACAAGGATGAGAGGCAATGACGAACCAGCGAGACTCGACCTAGTCTTCACTCTGAACGACTCCGACATAAGAGAAATCGGTTTTGAGGACCCAGTAGGAATGAGCGACCACAGTGTACTGGTGTTTGAGTACTTGATTGAAGAAGGGTTATTGAACTCGAGGAGGGATACCGAAACCAAAAGGTTAGCATACCGAAAGGGAAACTATGAGGGGATAAGAAAATTCCTAACAGATATAGCATGGGAAACAGAGCTCAGGGGAAAGACGGCCCAAGATATGATGGATTACATCACGCAGAAGTGCAAGGACGCAGCAAACAAGTTTGTCCCAGTCCAAAAGGAAAACAGAGAAATGAAGATGAGAAACCCATGGTTTAATCAAAGATGTAGGCTAGCTAAGCAGCAAAGTAAAAGGGCATGGAGAAACTATAGGAATAACAGGACACTGGAGAGCAGAGAAAGATACCAGAATGCCAGGAATGAATATGTCAGGATGAGAAGAGAGGCAGAAAGACAATACGAAAATGACATCGCAAGCAAGGCAAAGACTCAGCCTAAATTGTTGCATAGCCACATTAGGAGAAAAACAACAGTAAAGGAACAGGTTATGAGATTAAGGATAGGGGCGGAAGGATTCACTACAAATGACAAGGAAGTGTGTGAGGAATTGAATAAGAAATTCCAGGAGGTCTTCACCTTAGAACAAGGAGAAATTCCAGAGCTAAGTGAGGGAATAGCTAACCAGGAACCACTGGAAGAGTTTGAGATTACCAGTGGGGAAGTAAGGAAGTGTTTACTAGAGTTGGACGTGACGAAGGCTATAGGCCCAGATGGAATCTCCCCTTGGGTTCTAAAGGAAGGAGCAAGAGAACTGAGCCTACCACTCTCCATAGTGTATAACAAATCACTGGCAACAGGGGAACTGCCAGATATTTGGAAAGCAGCTAACGTAGTCCCGATATACAAGAAAGGGGATAGACAGGAGGCACTGAACTACAGGCCAGTGTCCCTAACCTGCATACCATGCAAGCTGATGGAGAAGATTGTGCGAAAAAAACTAGTGGAGCATCTGGAGCGAAGCAACTTTGTAACACAGCATCAACATGGGTTCAGGGATGGCAGGTCCTGCCTCACAGGGTTACTTGAATTCTACGACCAGGCAACAAAAATAAGGCAAGAAAGAGAAGGGTGGGCAGACTGCATATTTTTGGATTGTCAGAAAGCCTTTGATACAGTACCACACAAGAGGCTAGTGCGAAAGTTGGAGATGCAGGCTGGAGTGAGAGGGAAGGTACTCCGGTGGATAGAGGAATACCTAAGCAACAGGAGACAACGAGTCTGTGTGAGGGGTGAGGCCTCAGATTGGCGAGACGTCACAAGTGGAGTCCCGCAGGGGTCAGTCCTTGGACCTATACTGTTTCTGGTATATGTAAATGATCTCCCAGAGGGTATAGATTCGTTCCTCTCAATGTTTGCCGACGATGCAAAAATTATGAGGAGGATTGAAACAGAGGATGATAGTAGGAGGCTACAAGATGACCTGGATAGACTGAGTGAATGGTCCAACAAATGGCTGTTGAAGTTCAACCCGAGTAAATGCAAAGTAATGAAACTAGGCAGTGGAAACAGGAGGCCAGGCACAGGATACAGAATAGGAGATGAAGTACTTAATGAAACAGACAGAGAGAAAGATCTAGGAGTTGATATCACACCAAACCTGTCTCCTGAAGCCCACATAAAGAGAATAACGTCTGCGGCATATGCGAGGCTGGCTAACATCAGAACGGCGTTCAGGAACCTGTGTAAGGAATCATTCAGAATCTTGTACACCACATATGTAAGACCAATCCTGGAGTATGCGGCCCCAGCATGGAGCCCGTACCTTGTCAAGCACAAGACGAAGCTGGAAAAAGTCCAAAGGTATGCTACTAGACTAGTCCCAGAACTAAGAGGCATGAGTTATGAGGAAAGGCTGCGGGAAATGCACCTCACGACACTGGAAGACAGAAGAGTAAGGGGGGACATGATCACAACCTACAAAATCCTCAGGGGAATCGACCGGGTAAACAAGGATGAACTATTCAACACTGGTGGGACGCGAACAAGGGGACACAGGTGGAAGCTGAGTACCCAAATGAGCCACAGAGACGTTAGAAAGAACTTTTTCAGTGTCAGAGTAGTTAGTAAATGGAATGCATTAGGAAGTGATGTGGTGGAGGCTGACTCCATACACAGTTTCAAATGTAGATATGATAGAGCCCAATAGGCTCAGGAATCTGTACACCAGTTGATTGACGGTTGAGAGGCGGGACCAAAGAGCCAGAGCTCAACCCCCGCAAGCACAATTAGGTGAGTACACACACATACACACACATACACACACACGATCTCAGCCTGCACGCTAAGTGTCCCCTGCGGTCCATCTGGGTCCCCAGTCTCCATCTGTGGTCCATCTGGTCCCCCAGTCTCCACCTGTGGTCCATCTGGGTCCCCAGTCTCCACCTGTGGTCAATCAAGGGTCCCGTCTCCAGGTCTTGTGACGCCTGGTGTTGACCTGGGGCCAGGGCCGCCCTAGACACACACGCCTCATACCTCTGAAAATTACTTGAGGTTAAGCGTCCGTCGTGGGCCATTATAAAGTGGTACAATGGAAAGTGCGGAAGAGAAAGTCAGTTTGTTAGGTCCCTTTCCATATAAGGTGGTATACTTTATTTGTAAAGTATACCTTACCTTATCAATTGACTTCTTTTTTTTTTTTTTACTTTACACGGTTTGATTATGCTCCAGGGCTGCCCAAGACGTCGGCATTATATATATATATATATATATTATATATATATATATATATATATATATATATATATATATATATATATTATATATATATATATTATTAAATATGACCGAAAAAGTAAGATTAATAATTCTAACACGAATTTTCTCGATCTTTCTTATGTTTGTTTTCACTGTTGATGGTAATTGAAAAATCATTTCTCCAAATTTCATTTTTTATTTGAATTTAAAAAAATGAATTTTGGAGAATTGATTTTTCAATTACCATCAACAGTGAAAAGAAACATAAGAAAGATCGAGAAAATTCGTGTTAGAATTATTAATCTTACTTTTTCGGTCATATTTAATAATATATGTCTACAGGAAAGACTGCTACCAAAATATACTAATATATATATATATATATATATATATATATATATATATAAAATGTTTTGGATTTGTGATTTGTAATTCGCAGCCACGTTATTGTGTCTCTTTCTTTGACTACTTCGCTAATACATTATTGAATCGGCAACAGTTATATATCTTTGTTCTTCTCTTCAGTGCTTGCTACTTCCTCGACCTTTTTGGTCAACCTCATAGTTCAGGCGTCGAGCCTCGTTCCGAATAGTTGGAGCTTTGAAATGTTTTTGTGAAACAGCAGGTGAGGGCCTCCATGTAGGTGTTGTATATGTTGGGTGTGTACAGCGTCTTCAAGGTCTCCATGACTGGGTTGTTAAAGACTGTTACTCATCTCGGTTAGTGTTGCATATGCCGCTGACTACAGCCTGCCAGTGTGTGTGTGTGTTGCTTGGGGGGGGGGGTTAGACTCGACTTGATGCCCATACTTACAGCTTGTCCTTTTCCCCAAAGATTCAAATTACCTGTTGTTGTTGTTGTTTTAGATTCAGCTACTCGGACAACAAGTAGCACGGGCTATGGTGAGCCCGTAATGGACTGACCTGGCACAGGAGCGGGGCTGTAACTGTTCTTCTTCATGTTACCATTTTCTTCTCAATTTCTATACTGTTCTGCTACGTTCCTTAGTCTCACTTCTTTCCACTTTATCCCCGCCCCCCTTTGTCTGTGGTGCATGTCCGGGCGTGTCCTCTTGACCAGGTGGTCTTAACACTAAGGTCTTCCTGTTATAGTAACATTCTTCCGATGCTCTCTTTTTTTTCTCGTGTAATTCCAATTTTATTTTGGATAATTTCCCTTTACTTGCTCGCATGTCTTGTCTTTTTCTTCAGTTCTGGGGAGTAACAGAGACACGGACGCCGTGGACTCTGGCTACAAATGGAATTTCCTGCTCCAAGTTTTCAAATGTCTTAGCATTCTGGGTGCTGACCTGGCCTAGTAGCCTACGTGCATCTCCTTGCCTGCTCTTCGGTCGTGTGTGTGTGTGTGTGTGTGTGTGTGTGTGTGTGTGTGTGTGTGTGTGTGTGTGTATGTGTGTGCGTGTGCGTGTGCGTGTGTGTGTGTGTGTGTGTGTGTGTGTGTGTGTGTGTGTGTGTGTGTGTGTGTGTGTGTGTGTGTGTGTTTGCCCTATCTGCCTATCTCACTCGACGTCACATTGGAGAGGGGCAAATAATAAGAACTATTAGTATAATGTCTGTCAGGAAGGATAACAACGCAAGTCACTTGATTACAGCAATAGAAGAGGGCGTTTACTTCGAACATCACTGAGATGGGGGGAGAGAGAGAGAGAGAGAGAGAGAGAGAGAGAGAGAGAGAGAGAGAGAGAGAGAGAGAGAGAGAGAGAGAGAGAGAGAGAGAGACAGAGAGAGAGAGAAGGAGCGTGATTAAACGCTCAGTGATTGACAAGTAGGTGATTAAACAGAGGGAGTGGGACACATGAGAAGTGCGGACACATAGTGTGACTGAATGTGTCTCAGTGTGGACATAGTGACCTGCGGCAAGACAATACGACTCACCTGAGACACGAGGGTTAAGACAAAACCTGGAGTAAGCACTTGCTCAGTAGGCAAGGTACATTAACACGGTAAATATCTCTGAAGTGTGTGTTCATTACACTCAAGTGTTGTGTTTGACTCTTTGAGTGCATTTCAAGAATCACAAAGTGAAAAAAATTTGAAAGAGCTTTTATGAAGAAAAAAATATATATTGATCGTTCTATGGTTTTAGTAAGTTGCTTAGTAAATTATATTATTATTTAATGATCAGGTTGAGTGTATGCAAGTGTAGCAACAATTGGAAACATCGAATTTACAACTAAAACATCCCAAGGATACCGCTGCTGGCTCTATTATAGAGGAAATGTTGTGAATGGCCTTCATGTCTCTGTGTACATGTCTCGGAAAACAAAAATCTTTAATTGATCTGAATTCTGCCAAGGAACACGCGGTAACAATGTGAACACAGGAGATAATATATCTTAAACAGATTTCTGAAATAGATCGAAGAGCGGCAATTAGTATATATATATATAGTAGCAGAAGACACGAGAAGGTGACCTCTTGAACTGCCACGTGTTCATACAAGCTAAGTGAACTCTCAGTGTCATCAGGGCAGCCTTAGGGTCCGGTGCCCCGGCACAGGGCCTGGCCAGCTGGCCCCTGAGTGCCCCTGGAGATGGCCAGTAGCATGTCCGTGCTGGTGTATGGGGTCGGGGCCGCCCTCGGGTCCGGGGCCACGCTCGGAGGCCTCCTGCTCGTCCTCTACATCGCCGTCATCCTCTACATTCTCTACAACTCATCACTTCTGCCGCCCATTCTGTGCACATCGTAAGTTGTTGATGATTATAGTGAGTTGGTGCTGGTGAGAATACGTCCGCTTTGTTAGACCCGATATTGTTATAAGGTGGTTTTATGTCAAGTTTTTCCGTTTTCATACTTTTTTATAAGTTGGTGTTTGTGTTTATTTAGGTAATATGGATGTGCTGCTCAATTGTGTTTCTTTATTATGCACCCCATACTCATGCCGTGGGCGGTGGTGGAAAGGGTTATAGGGGCACATAATGGGTTCAGGAACTGAACCATATAATACATTTACCTAAGCAAGTGACAGTCTTGTGAAGCTAGTTACACAACTGTTAATGTTATATATACATGTACACACATATATATATATATATATATATATATATATATATATATATATATATATATATATAATATATATATATATATATATATATATATATATATATATATATATATATATATATATATATATATATATATATATATATATATATATATATATATATATATATACAATCATTTATACAAATACATATACACATCGATAATCTTCTGTATCACAAGTGATTCAACAAGAGGCTCACAACAGTCACTATACAAGGCACTTTACATCTATGGTGAGTCACACAGTTACTAGTCTTGCTCCACACCCACCCAACTGGGCGGCAGCTTTACAGTCATGTGCAGGCTGCACCTACAGTAAGCAAATTTTGGATACTTCGATAAGATTCCCAGCAGTACATCATTATGAATGTAGTACTTACACATTTGTTGGACTCCATTGATTTTTTCACATTCCATTATATAATGACGCAAAGTATGCAAATAGTTTTGCTGACAGAGTTTACATTTAGTCAAATCTACATCAGCAGATGTTACAAACTCCCAGAGGTACTTGTAGCCGAGCCTAAGCCTAGCAGTGGTAACATCTAGAAGTCTGCTAACCTTATTGGATGACCCATAGACGTGCGGTTCTTCCTGCATAACAGAATGATGATAGATGGAGTAACTGGTGTGAATTTCACTTTGCCTCAAGTCTACGAAATTTTGTTGATGTTCGCGGAATATTACTGCCCTCAGGCTGCTCAAAGGCAGTCCAAGTTGGTAATACTCTTCTGCCTCCCCCTTCAAGCAGAAGAGATTTCTGAAGTAGAAGGAATATAGAGACTATATACAACAATCTAGACATGACGGAAAGTAACTAAATTATGGGAACCGTCTCAAAGTTCTCAATGTACTCTCTAGAACGGAGACTGGAGAAGCACCACATAATACATGCATCAAAGACACTGGAAGGCCAGAATCCCAAATTTACACCGTAAAATATCATACTGGAACAAACGATATGATAGAACATGTAGAACACAACCAGCGAGGAACAGTGAACACAAACCAGCGAGGAACAGAGCTGCCAGGGACATTAACAGAGAACACCGAGGTCCACGGCTATTCAATATCCTACCAACAAGCTTAGGAAATATTGCCGGGACAAAAGTGGACGTGTTCAAGGAACAATTAGACAAGTTCCTACGACAAGTGTCGGACCAACCAGGTTGGTTGCTGTTTGCTCTGAGCCGCTGAGCAAACAGCAACGAATAAACAGCCTGTTGGAGCAAGTTACCACAGGTCAAGCCTGATCCCAGGCCGGACCTGGAATAGAACTCCTAGAATCCTCTTCAGGTATACTTCAGGTATCACGGCGAGATATCGCCTACAACATCACGAGGTGATATCAACTGCTGCATCACGGGAGAGACCAACCACAGCATCACGGAGAGATCAGCCACAGCATCACGGAGAGATCAGCCACAGCATCACGGACGAGAGATCAACCACAGCATCACGGACGAGAGATCAACCACAGCATCACGGAGAGAGATCAACCACAGCATCACGGAGAGAGATCAACCACAGCATCACGGAGAGAGATTAACCACATCATCACGGAGAGAGATCAACCACAGCATCACGGAGAGAGATCAACCACAGCACGGAGAGATCAACCACAGCATCACGGAGAGATCAACCACAGCATCACGGAGAGATCAACCACAGCATCACGGAGAGATCAACCACAGCATCACGGAGAGATCAACCACAGCATCACGGAGAGATCAACCACAGCATCACGGAGAGAGATCAACCCACAGCATCACGGAGAGATCAACCACAGCATCACGAAGAGATCAACCACAGCATCACGGAGAGAGATCAACCACAGCATCACGGAGATCAACCACAGCATCACGGAGAGATCAACCACAGCATCACGGAGAGAGATCAACCACAGCATCACGGAGAGAGATCAACCACAGCATCACGGAGAGATCAACCACAGCATCACGGAGAGAGATCAACCACAGCATCACGGAGAGATCAACCACAGCATCACGGAGAGATCAACCACAACATCACGGAGAGATCAACCACAGCATCACGGAGAGAGATCAACCACAGCATCACGGACGAGAGATCAACTGTTATATCTTGACTAATTATAAGCTTTCACATCAGATTATTTTCATCCCGGGCTCCTCCCTCCTAATCTCTTCAATCATTACAACTCGTCACAATCTTTTGCAACCAGACACCGCCAACTTGTAGAGCCCAGGGCTGCCAACCTTAATGGCCCAGTGCAGCTAAACTGCACGGCCCAATGCTGCCAACTTTTGCGTGAGGAAGACCATCTGTCGTGTGAGGAAGATCTGTCAATTTCACCGACAGCTCCCCGCCGCCGCCGGTGATAAGATCTCTCCCATTCTTACACATTTAGTCTAGAATTTACGGCCCAGATGATATGAATAACACAAGGTGTGCTGCTTGTTGGGGTTAGCCGGTACGAGGCACTCGGTGCCCTTAGAAACAGCCGGTCGGTGTGTGTGGCACTGCCGGAACTTTGGCCCACTGGAGGCTACTGGGGTCGTGATCTGTGTTGCCTCAAGAGGGGATGCTGCCTCATCCCACAGACTCGTTTCATCTCTCTCTTTCTTGCACCAAGTTCGTGATTCATCCGTCCTCAAAATGTCTCGGCCACCGAAAATTTCACTTAGCTTAATTCCTCCGTTAATTAAATTCTTGTCGCCTAAGTTCGGGCGTCAATGTGAATTCCTCGACCTAAATTCCTGGCGTCCAGCGACAGACTCTTCCCCCCCCCCCCCGCGGCATACCACCCAGCCTCGCCCCTCCCACCTATCCTCTCCACCCCTCCCACCTTCCATCACAATAGGCCGTCCTCACAGGCCTCGGCTGGAGATATGAATCAAAACTGAAGCCAGCTGAGATGTGTGTGATGGGTCGCTGCCTTACCTGACCCACCTCGCCTACCTGCTGAGTTCGAGTTCAAGTACGTTTATTGAGACAATAAAATACATCTCAAAGGGATAGAGTAGCTTATAGGGCCTTAGGCTATTTCTACCCCGTCCCCCCATGCCGAGACGGTTGACTTGATTAACGTATATGACAAATCCACCCACATTTCTCTCTCTGTCTCTGTCTGTCTCTCTCTCTCTCTCTCTCTCTCTCTCTCTCTCTCTCTCTCTCTCTCTCTCTCTCTCTCTCTCTCTTCTCTCTCTCCTCTCTCTATCTTCTCTCCCTCTCTCTCTATCTCTCTCGCTCTCTCTGTCTCTGTCTCTCTATCTCTCTCTCTCCTCTCTCTCTCTCTCTCTCTCTCTCTCTCTCTCTCTCTCTCTCTCTGTCTCTCTCTCTCTCTCTCTCTCTCTCTCTCTCTCTCTCTCTCTCTCTCTCTCTCTCTCTCTATCTCTCTCTGTCTCTCTCTCTCTCTCTGTCTCTCTCTCTCTCTTCTCTCTCTCTCTCTCTGTCTCTCTCTCTCTCTCTGTCTCTCTCTCTCTCTCTCTCTCTCTCTCTCTCTCTCTCTCTCTGTCTCTGTCTCTGTCTGTCTGTCTGTCTGTCTGTCTGTCTGTCTGTCTGTCTGTCTGTCTCTCTCTCTCTCTCTCTCTCTCTCTCTCTCTCTCTCTCTCTCTCTCTCTCTCTCGTTCACCCTGTCCATCAATTAAACCTCTTCAGCATTACCCAACCAGCACCCACTGCAGCAGCACCACCACCAACGTAACCTAACCACCCTGGTCTTCCTTGCAGGTTCGGCCACCCGCTCTTCAGATCGAGTAAGGAGCGTCGACGAGCCCGCCTCAAGGATGCCAGGTCATCCAAGTGCAACTCGGGCGACTCCGGCGACTCCGGCATCGAGGTGAGTGTGGCTTATGACTGCTTCATTCACCTCTTACTGTGGCTCGAAGTCTGTTGTTAATATCTGCCTCTCCTTGTGGACATTTCTTCTTTGTGACAATTATGTGCGAGAGCCAAGAGTGAGTGTGTCAATGTGGGTGTGTGTGCTACACGCAGGTGATCATTCTTAACTCTTTTTTTTCTGCGTGTAAAGAGCGCGAGATACCTTTTCCTTATCTTACAGCCTGGCTGGCTATCTTCACATAGCTCTTCCCTACCTTAAATGAATTCGCGTTAAAATTATGACGTCATAGTGACGTCACACGCCTCGTGCACTCCATGCCGTATATAAAACTGTTTATCTCTAAGTCTTGTTTGGATAAATTAGGTTGCGATGGGTTAGATTGAGGTAGGTTAATTTAAAGTAAAGTAGGTTAGGTTAGGTTTATTTAAATACAGTAGCGATGACGCAGATGGGCACATACATTTTCTCAGGTTATAGGCCAGCGTGCAGCGCTGAAAGGTCAGGTTAAAAGATATTAACGCTACTCCAACTAGAACATTTTAATTCCCAGCTGCGTTGTTTGGTTGTTATTCCCTCAGGAACCACCACCAGGTGGCAGCACCTCACCTGCCTCCTTGACCAGTGACCTTAGCCAGCCTCCCACACACTCTTTAATTGAGCCCCCCGCGCACAGGATAAAGGGCTGACGGGGCTATTCATGCCCGTGGCACCTCTTGGGTGGCTTAATCTTCATCAATCATCAATCAGGATAAAGGGACAGGCGAGTGTTGAGGGTGATGAGACTTGTCATACCATACGGTTCAGAAAGCTGTTTTCCATATTAACTTTATACCTCATAGAATTAACTTTATGCCTCATAGTTAACTTTATGCCTCATAGAGTTAACTTTATGCCTCATAGAGTTAACTTTATGCCTCATAGAGTTAACTTTATACCTCATAGAGTTAACTTTATAAACTAAGGTTTATTACGGAGATAAATAATACTTTCAGCTAGTACTCAAGTAAGGAATATTTAGACGAACGATAGAGACGAAACAAAGTTAGAAACACTAGCATGTGTGGTAGATGGGTGGCAGGGGGAGCATGTGTGGTAGAGGGGTGGCAGGGGGAGCATGTGTGGTAGAGTGGTGGCAGAGGGAGCATGTGTGGTAGAGTGGTGGCAGAGGGAGCATGTGTGGTAGAGTGGTGGCAGGGGGAGCATGAGGGGTGGCAGGGGGAGCATGTGTGGTAGAGTGGTGGCAGGGGGAGCATGTGTGGTAGAGTGGTGGCAGGGGGAGGGTTGCCGCGCCTCAAGAAGGGCAGGTCCAACAAGTCTGGTACTTCAGAAGAACAACCCAGCGTTAGGTTGGTGGTGCATGAAGCAGTTTCCCAGACCAACACAATGCTAACCAGATGAAGCTTACCGCTTGTAGTAGCGAGCGCAAGAAGGAAGACGGTTCTGAGGGGTCATATCAGCAAAATAGGGCGAGATACAGTGAACAATGGAATGATGGCTATTAAAAAATATACAATCTCCCGAGTAAAGATAGGGACTGAGGTCAGTTCCAACATGGGAAGCAACAAAGCGGACCAATACGATGCAGACCTTCGTGGCATGAAGATCCTGCTCTTAAAAAAACAGAGCTAAACAAGGAACGACATAATATGGTCTCATATGAACGAGACGACATGCAGAGACCCGGGTATCAATGCAGCGGCCGTCATGCAACCTTGTATTGTCCTTGAAGACAGATAGACGCGTAAGTTCCTCCTCTATCTGCCCACTACACAGGCCATGAACGTTTGGAATAAATTGAATAATGGAAGAGACTGATGATGTGCGTGAGGGAGCGGCTCCGGGTAAGAAGGGCCGAGTTGTGGACTAGCTCAAAAAGGATGTTGATCAAGGCTGAACCGACCACCAGGGAGTGAGTAGAATGGCCTGACCCTCCAAGCTCTCCATTGTCTCAGTCGGAGGGGAAGAGATATATACTCTCCCATCTAACGAATGCCAAACACGATAAAGAATGGTATTTAATGACAAACGTGGTATTAGACACTTTATTTCCAGATAAATAATATGAGGTTTTATTATTGCATTTTTTTACAGCTTTCATCATGTGTAAAAAGAGGTTATGAGGCATAATTCATAGTTTTATTTTTATGTATTTAGATATATGCAATAGTATATATCTGAATCGATATGCAATAGCATATATCTGAATGAAGATGAGTGCCCTCATCTCTCACCCCCTGTTACCGAGCAGTAAATAGGTACCTGGGAGTTAGTCAGCTTTCACGGGCTGCTTCCTGAGGGGTGGAGGCCTGGTCGAGGACCGGACCGCGGGGACACTAAGCCCCGAAATCATCTCAAGATAACCCCCCTAACCTAAGTCAATCATACCCACCCACATTCAGGTGTCGATAATATTGTGCTTCATCACCTCCTCCCCGTGTAATACACAAGATAACTTATCACCACTTTATGTCCTATAATCTAACCATAACATAAAATTATTGTAATGACGGAAATAGTGGTAAATAATTTTGATTGAAATATGAATTGTATTATGGTATATGAGCTAATTAATTTTGATTGAAATATGAATTGTATTATGGTATATGAGGTAATTAATTTTGATTGAAATATGAATTGTATTTTTTTTCATAGATGCATGAATGGTTAGGGAGGAATGGTAATGACTTAGAAGATATCCTAAACGGTTGAGATGACTGGTGGGGGAATGTAAACAGTATTTTCTTAATGAAAGCCTATTATCTCGGAGAGATTAGGACATTGTTGACTAAATTCTCGCCTACTTGTGAAGAAATTAACTTTCCATACAAAACTTGCAAGATATTGTTGATAACTGACGTGTGTAATCTGTGTATTGTATGTTTATCTGTTAAGATATTTAGACCAAGTGTATATTTTTCCCAGTATGTGTACGTGTTCACCCAGACTATTATTATTCTTAACAGCTCGTAACCCGAGCTCGTAGTGCTTCGGAGCTCATAAACTGTTTAATAAGTGTAAACAGATCCGCCATGATTGTGGGAAGATGTAGAGGTTTCGTAAGTGGTTGCGCAAATGCTTGACGAATCCTGTCCTCAGTTCATTAGAGCTGATATCGTAAATATTACTGATATTGTGAAGATAGTATTATATCTTGTGAATGGAGTGCAAGTGACGTCAGGGTGTGTCGGGTGCAAGTGACGTCAGTGTGTGGTCGAGTGCAAGTGACGTCAGTGTGTGTGTCGAGTTGCAAGT